CCAAACACCTTACAAAGTTTTCCTTAATGCTTGCAAAAAATATTACTCAAAAATAAAAATTTGCATTTTTGACCAAAAAAATGTGGGTAACACTCATGATTTTTAGTCGGTTTTATAAATTCGCATATAAATCATCGTTCAATCTATATGTTTTCACCTTCGCCTCACAATGAAATTTTGAAAATTAAGGTAAGACCTTCCATTGAGATTCTTGACGATGGAACCCATTTGACAATATTTTGGTCTTCACTATTGTATTTTTCACTTATTTTTTTCAGTTTTCGGCTTAAATATTCTACTAAGTATACATTTGTTGCACAATAAATCATAAAACCCCTTCCAAACAAGTTATAAAGTTTTCCTTAATGCTCGCAGAAAATATTTCGCAAAAATAAAAATTTGCATTTTTGACAAAAAAAACGTGAGTTAACACTCATGATTTTTAGTCGTTTTACAAATTCGTACATAAATCATCATTCAATCTATTTTTTTTCATATTCGCCTCACCATGAAATTTTGAAAATTAAGGTAAGACTTTCTGCTGAGATTCTTGAGGGAACTCCATTTGACAATGCTTTGTTCCTCACTATTGTATTTTTCACTTATTTTTTCAATTTTCAGCTTCAACATTCTACTAAGTATACATTTGTTGTTCAATAAATCATAAAACCACTTCCAAACACTTTATAAAGTTTTCCTTAATGCTCGCGGAAAATATTGTCCAAAAATAAAGATTTGCATTTTTGACCAAAAAAAGTGGGTTAACACTCACGATTTTTAGTCGGTTTTACAAATTCGTACATAAATCATTGTTCAATCTATTTGTTTTCACATTTGCCTCATCGTGAAATTTTGAAAATTAAGATAAGACTTTCCGTTGAGATTCTTGAGGGTGGAACCCCATTTTACAATGTTTTGGTCCTCACTATTGTATTTTTCACTTATTTTTTCAAATTTTGGCTTAAATATTCTACTAAGTATACATTTGTTGCTCAATAAATCATAAAACCGCTTCCAAACACCTTATAAAGTTTTCCATAATGCTCGCAGAAAATATTTTGCAAAAATAAAAATTTTCATTTTTGACCAAAAAAACATGGGTTAACATTCACTACTTTTAGTCGATTTTGCAAATTCGTACATAAATCACCGTTCAATCTATTTATTTTTAGCTTCACCTCAATGTGGAGTTTTGAAAATTAAGGTGAGACTTTCCATTGAGATTCTTGAGGGTGGAACCCCATTTGACAATGTTTTGGTCCACATTATTGTATTTTTCACATTTTTTTTCTTTTAAGTTTTCGGCTTAAATATTCTACTAAGTATACATTTGTTGCTCAATAAATCATACAACCACTTTCAAACACCTTATAAAGTTTTCCTTAATGCTCGCGGAAAATATTTTGCAAAAATAAAAATTTGCATTTTTAACCAAAAAAATGTTGGTTAACACTCACAGTTTTTAGTTAGTTTTTACAAATTCGTACATAAATCATCATTCAAACTATTTCCTTTCAACTTCGCCTCACCGTGATGTTTGAAAATTATAGTAATACTTTCCGTTATATTCTTGAGGGTTCAACGCAATTTTAACAATATTTTGGGCTTTCGACTTAAGTAGTGTACTAAATATACATTTGTTGCTAAAAAAAATCTTAAGTCCGCTTCCAGCTGCCTTATAAATTTTCCCTAATTCTCATGGAAAATGTTTCATGAAAATATAATATTTGCATAAAAAAAGGGTTAACACTCATGATTTTTTGTCGTTTTTTACAAATTTGTACATAAATCATCGTTCAAACTATTCACCTTCGCCTCACCGTGAATTTTGAAAATTATAGTAATACTTTTTGTTATATTCTTGAGGGTGGAACCCCATTTTAACAATATTTTGGGCCTCCCTACTACACTTTTCACTCATTTTTTTAGTTTTCGACTTAAATAGTCTACTAAATATGCACAATAAATCGTAAATCCGCTTCTAAATGCCTTATGATAATTTTTCTTCATGCTCATGGAAAACATTTCGCAAAAATAAAAAATTTGCATTTTTGACAAAAAAGTGGGTTAACACTCACGCTTTTTTGTCAGTTTTTACAAATTCGTACATAAATCATCGTTCAAACTCTTTATCTTCACCTTCGCCTCACTGTGAAGTTTGAAAATTAAATTAATACTTTCCGTTAATATTGTTGAGGGCGGAACCCCATTTTAACAATATTTTGGGTTCACTACTATATTTTTCACTTATTTTTTTAGTTTTCGACGTAAATAGTGTGACAGCCCGTTTCGAAAAATTTTAAAACGTACGTGTGAAAGGATGATTTTGCCCCTAGTGTGATTTTTACGTTGTGTGGTTGTTTTGAGCTTGGTGTGGCTGGTTGTGGACCACACACATTTCCCCACACATTTCCTTCACCCTTTCCCTGCCCTGCACCCTGTCCCGTGCCCTTTCCCTTCCCCATTTTCTATCCCATTTGTACGGACATACCCCAAAACCCTTGTAATCTTCACAGATCGAAGAAACAAAGTACATATCGATGCTCGTGAGGTCTGTAGAAGTTCAACCATACCCATTTCAAGTAAGGATACCTTCGTTTTCACGTCGAACTCGGGATACTCGATTTTTGTTACTGTTCATGCACACGTTAATTCTTGTGTTTTTGGGAATTTCAAGCTTGTAGGAAGCTTGGTGAGGTCCTTAGGAGGCTCGGGGTGGTTCGTTTGAAGGTTTTGGACGTCGGGATCGTGAGTTTCGAGGTTGGCCGGAGTTGGTGGTGTTTTCCCGGTGAGATTCCATGGATTTTAACTCTTGAAAGTGGTATGAAATTGTTCCTCTCATTGTAAGCTTCAATTTGGTACCAATTTTGTGAAATTTGGTTGAAAAACGAAGAAGATATGACAGTTTGAAAATTTTGCGATTTTCCGGCGCCGGAGAAGACGACGGAATATTCCGTCAGTTTGGACAGAATATTCCTAACGGCGTTAACGGAATCCGTTAAAGTTAACGGAATATTCCTGACGGCGTTAACTGACGCTGTCAGCGTGCCAGGCACGTGCCTGCGCGTGGCCGGCGCGTGCGGCGGTGGAAAATTTTTCTAAAAATATGGGGATGTTTCTGAGGTTGAGTAGATCACGTTGGTGTATTCATACACCCCATTTGAGCATTGTATGAGAAGTTATTTCATAAGGTTGGTTATGTGTTTTAAAATTAACGTTTTTATAGTTGTTTCGCATATAGGTGATACCTATTCCGAGGACGAGCACGGTCACTCAAGGCAAGGGGGTTACGACCCTTCCACATACCAGTGAGTGGGTTTTTGGTTTTCCGTATATACCTATATACTTATGTTTTTCCCAGAAAGTGAAATGAAACGTTTATTCGTTTATATGCCATGCTTATAGTTTGTCATTTAATTATGCTTTATGAATCGCATATGTTTATATATGTTTGGTGCTGCGGACGCACAGGTAAGTGCCATGTGAGTTATGATTTATGTTTACGTTCAGTAGTGATTTGAGATGCTTAGAGATAGCTCATAACCTGCACCCCCGGTGTTAGTGCTCCTGCCTAGAGTCGGGCACAGTCCTTCACGTGATGTTCACTTACCGCACCACACGCTCATCTTGGATCCAAGTTAGGTGCACAGTCCTGTCGTACATACCACTTTAGGTGGTTCCGACTCGTAGGTGACCCGCGATTATTCGCCTAGCCTTCACGTGATCGTAGCACTTGAGCGTACTTATATTACACCCAGGCTTGTTGTACAAACCACTTTAGGTGGCTCCGACTCGTGTGCAGGTATAGTTAGTGAGATGGAGATTTGAGCTCTAGATTCAGCCGTACAGGTCACGTTAGGTGACTCCGACTGACAGATTATATGACATTGAGGTGATATTACCTAAGCACTTGCATTTTACTTCGAGGTTTTGGCATAGCATATTTTCCGAGCATGATTTATATATATGTATATTATATTTTCTAGGAAGTATACAGGTTTTACGGCGAGGGGTTAGAACTTGTTTATGAAATGGTTTTTGAAAAGCTTTGATTTTGCCCACTCACACTTTTTGTTTTGCGCCCCTCCAGGTTCTAGTTGGCTAGCACGTTTGGTGGGCTCCCGGAGGATTTCCCTGCCATATCTGACAGACTATCACCAGTGTAGGACCACCTTCGGGTGTGCTTTTGTTGTGTCGTTTTCTCCCGGACTGCATTAGGTCTTCGTGCTCTGAACTTTGTGTTCACACTTACGCTTGCACATGTTTGTTATTACTTGTGTAAAGCTGGTTTTTATTTATTCGTACTATTTTTATTATTATTTTATTAACTTCCGCATTGTGCACATGGTTACGTCACTTCCACGTGACGGCCAGCATGCCCTGATATTGATCGGGGTGTGTCAAATAGTCTACTAAATATACATTTGTTGCTCAATAAATCGTAAATCTGTTTCCAAATGGCTTATAAAATTTTCCTTAATGTTCACGGAAAATATTTCACGAAAATAAAAAATTTGCACTTTTGACAAAAAAACGTGGGAACTCATGGTTTTTAGTTAGTTTCTACAAATTCGTACAAAAATTGTCCTTAAAACTATTTATTTTCACCTTCGCCTTACCATGAAATTTGAAAATTATAGTAATACTTTTTGTTATATTCTTGATGGTGGAACCCCATTTTAACAATGTTTTGGGCCTTACTACTATATTTTTCAATCTTTTTTTTTGTTTTTGATTTAAATAGTCTACTAAATATACAGTTGTTACTCAATAAGTCGTAAAACCACTTCCAAATGCCTTCTAAATTTTACTTAATGCTCACAAAAAATATTTTGCGAAAATAAAAAATTTGCATTTTTGACAAAAGAAGTGGGTTAACACTCATAGTTTTTAGTCGATTTTTACAAATTCGTACATAAATTGTCATTCAAACTATTTATTTTCACCTTCGTCCCACTATGAAGTTTGAAAAATAAAGTAATACTTTCCGTTTATTGTGACATCCCGTCCCGAGATTATAAAAATGTACGTGTGAATTTACGATTTTACCCCCTAGTTCGTTACTTTACGTGTAGTTTTGTGTTGTGTGGTGTTGTAGGACCACACCCACACTCATACACTCTCTTTCTCTCCCGGGATTCCCTCACTCTCTGTCTCTTCTCTGTCTCTTCTCTCTCTCTCTCTCCCAAGCTCTATTCATTCTTCTTCTTCCTTATGAAAACGTACGGACAACACACACATCACCCAAACCTTGATGGATCGAAGGAACCAAGGGCATTTTTGGACTCGTGAAGCTCGTACGAGTGCAACCATACCATTTTCAGGTGAGAAATCCTTCGTTTTCATGTCGATTCGAGGTAGTCCGATTTAGGTACTATTCATCAACTTTTTATTGGTTGATTTTTAGGACTTTTCAAGCTTATAGGAAGCTTCTTGAGGTCCTAAGGAGGCTTGGAGTAGTTCGTTGGAAGTTTTTGGACGTAAGAACACGAAGAACAACAAGCTCAAAGTTTGGCCGGAGCTTTCGAGGCTTTTTCCGGCGAATCCACGGCTATTTAGGGGTCAAGGCAGGTATGGATGTGTTCGTCTCGTCAATACCTTCAATTTGATATATAATACGTCGAAAATGGTTAAGAAATGAAGAAGTTATGACACTTTGAAGTTTTTGCAGTTTTCCGGCGACGGCGCCGGCGCCGGCGGCGGTGACTCGCCGGAGAAGATAGGGGAATATTCCGTTAAGTTTTAACGGAATATTCCTACAGGACTAACGGCGTCAGTTAGGGAATATTCCGTCAGTCAAACGGAATATTCCGTCAGTCAAACGGAATATTCCGTCAGTCAAACGGCACGTGGCCGCGCGTGGGGGGCGCGTGGGTCCGTGCTATTCCAGGCGCGTGGGGGCGCGTGCGTGGTCCAAATTGAATTCTGAAAATTGTCACGCGTTCGTGACGTCGTGTAGATCACCGTGGTATATTCATATACCCAATTTGAGCAATGTATGAGAAAGTTATGGACGAATGTTTGGCGTATGCGCGTTAAATAACTTCAATTTGGTTACTTTTTGTATAGGTGAAAAATTATACAGAGGAAGAATGTAACCAATCTAGGGGAGGCTCAGGAACCTACGAGACGTCGATATAATCTGTGAGTGGGCAGTTTTGTTTTTCGTATATATACGTATGCTAGACGTATTTCCCAGGAAACGTATTTTAAAGGAAATACGAATTAAATATCCTGTCATATATGCATCATGTTTTAATATGTGCATTACCATAATTATGCATATTGTTGCATGGTGCTGAGGAGGCCCAGGTAAGCTACATTTGATATACATCTGATATACGTATGAAATACATTTGGAATACGATTGAATTACGATGGAAATACATATATAACTATATACGTTTATATTTCCAGAAATTGGTTAGAAAATGTTATTTGTTTCATGCCATGCACCATATGTTTGTCGTTTATGCATCATCACATGTATTAGTAGTGGCATACATATATATATATATATATATGCGTATTTGGTGCTGTGGACGCACAGGTAAGTGCCAGGTAAGTGGTATTCATGTTTGTATTCAGTAGTAGCTTGAGATGCTTAGAGAGCTCATAATCTGCACCCCGGTGTTAGTGCTCCCGCCCGTGGCCAGGGCATAGCCTTCACGTGTATGTTCACCTCCCGCACCACACGCTCAGCTTGGATCCAAGTCAGGTGCAAAGCCTGTCGTACAGACCACATTAGGTGGTTCCGACTCGTAGGTGACCCGTGATTCGTCGCATAGCTTCACGTGATCGTAGCACTAGAGCGTATATATATTACACCTAGCCTGTCGTACAGACCACATTAGGTGGTTCCGACTCGTGTGCAGATTTAGTTAATGAGATGAGATTGGAGCTCTATAGGCTGCCGTACAGGTCACGTTAGGTGACTCCCGGCTGCTAGATTATATGTTATTGATATGTGTTATGCTTGAGCATTTACATTTTATTATGAGATTCCGATGTGAGTATGATTGGCATATTTTGAGCATAATTGTCATACCTTTGAGCTTGATTGACATATCTATACATACGTATATATGTTTATTTTCTGAGAAAGTATACAGGTTTTACAGAGAGGGGTTACAAACTTTTGAGAAGTGTTTGGATTTGGAAAAGAATTGTTTTACTGACCCACTCAATTTTGGTTTTGCGCCCCTCCAGGTTCAAGTATATGCAAAGGTGTGGTGACTACGAGGAAAATTCAACGGTGTTCTGACAGAATGGACCAAATGAGGACTCACCTTCGGGTGGTTCATCTTAGAAATTGTATATTTTTAAAGCTTCCGAACTGTGTAAATGGTTACGTCACTCTCACGTGACTGCCAGCATGCCCTCCTTCGGGACGGGGTGTGTCATTTATATTCTGGAGTTAGGAACCAAATTTTAACAATATTTTAGGTCTCACTACTATATTTTTCACTTATTTTTTTTAGTTTTTGCCTTAAATAGTCTACTAAATATCCATTTGTTGCTCAATAAATCGTAAATCCGCTACCAACTACCTTATAAATTTTTCCTTAAATCGTCGTTCAAACTATTTATTCAATTTACCTTATAGAATTTTACAAAAAACGTGCGTTAACACTCACAATTTTTAGTCGATTTTTACAAATTCGTACATAAATCGTCGTTCAAACTATTTATTTTCACCTTCACCTCACCGTGAAATTTGAAAATTAAATTAATATTTTCCGTTAATATTCTTGAGGGTGGAACCGTATTTTAACAATGTTTTCGGCCTCACTACTATAATTTTCACTTATTTTTTTAGTTTTCGACATAAATACTCTAATAAATATACATTTGTTGCTCAATGAATCGTAAATCCGCTTCCCAATGCCTTATAAAATTTTCCTTAATGGTTATTGAAAATATTTCGCGAAAATAAAAATATTGCAATTTTGAGAAAAAATAGTTTTTAGTCAGTTTCTACAACTTCATACATAAATCGTTGTTAAATTTTCACCTTCAATGTCACATCCCGGCCCGGGGCGGGTCATTTCCCAAGCCCGCTCCACCACCGTAGCATGATATTGTCCGCTTTGGACTTCCATTCCCTCACGGTTTTATTTATGGGAACTCACAAGCAACTTCCCAGTGGGTTACCCATCATGGGATTGCTCCAGCCCCTTTCTCGCTTAACTTCGGAGTTCCTACGGAACCCAAACCAGTGAGCTCCCAAAAGGCCTCGTGCTAGGTAAGGATGAGAATATACATATAAGGATTACTCCGCTGGGCGATGTAGGATGTTACAATCCACCCCCCTTAGGGGCCCGACGCCCTCGTCGGCACACACGTGGCCATGGTTAGGCTCTGATACCAAATGTCACATCCCGGCCCAGGGCGGACCACTTCCCGGGCCTGCTCCACCACCGTAGCACTATATTGTCCGCTTTGGGCCCCGACCACGCCCTCACGGTTTTGTTTCTAGGAACTCACACGAGAACTTCCTGATAGGTCACCCATCTTGAGAATGCTTTCGCGCGCTACTCGCTTAACTTCGGAGTTCCCATGGAACCCGAAGCCAGTGAGCTTCCAAAAGGCCTCGTGCTAGGTAGACATGAGAATATACATATAAGGATCACTCCCCTGGGCGATGTGGGATGTTACATTCAACACACCATGAAGTTTTAAGATTATAGTAACACTTTTTGTTGTATTTTTTAGGGTGGAATGTGACATCCCACATCGCCCAGGGGAGTGATCCTTAAATGTATATTCCCATTCCTACCTAGCACGAGGTCTTTTGGGAGCTCACTAGCTTCGGGTTTCGTAGGAACTCCGAAGTTAAGCGAGAAGAGGGCTAGAGCAATCCCATGATGGGTGACCCATTGGGAAGTTGCTCGTGAGTTCCTAAAGACAAAACCGTGAGGGCGTGGTCGGGGCCAAAGCGGACAATATCGTGCTACGGTGGTGGATCGGGCCCGGGAAGTGGTCCGCCCCGGGCGGGGATGTGACAATTTGGTATCAGAGCCTAACTCTGGTCGCGAGTGTGCCGACGAGGACGTCGGGCTCCTAAGGGGGGTGGATTGTGACATCCACGCTACCGATCGTTGCCCAGTCGTATTTAAATTATTGTTCAATCTATTTATTTTCACCTTCGACTAATTGTGAAGTTTGAAAATTATAGTAATACTTTTTGTTATATTCTTGAGCGTGGAACGTCATTTTAACAATGTTTTGGGCTTCCCTACTATATTTTTCACTTATTTTTTTAGTTTTCGACTTAAATAGTCTATTAAATATAGATTTGTTGCTCAATAAATCGTATACTTGCTTCCAAATAAATAAATGAAATAGAAAAGGATACGATCAGTACTTTGATACCGATTGTCCACATGAACAGTCGCTAGCTTTTTAGCAACGGTGCCTGTTAAGAAACGCTATGTTCATACCGAACCCCTCTTTTCAATTGTTTTTTTTTTTTTTTTTTGCTTATGTTTGTTTTAGTTCTCTTGCCATAACAACAAACTATCAAACTCCTATTCTTCAAAATATATTTTTTCATGCAAAATCTATGATTGTACATATTTAAACACTTGTAATTAACGATTTAAAACCTAAATTTAAAGATATTTGAATTTAATAGTGGTTACTCAGATAAAGTAATGTATGAAGAAAAAACTTAAAGGAATAAACAAAAAAGCAGAAAATAAATAAATAAAAAAAATGAACTGGGAAAGATCGGTACCACGCTACCGATCCTTGCCCAGTCGTATTTAAATTATTGTTCAATCTATTTATTTTCACCTTCGCCTAATTGTGAAGTTTGAAGATTATAGTAATACTTTTTATTATATTCTTGAGTGTGGAACGTCATTTTAACAATGTTTTGGGCCTCCCTACTATATTTTTCACTTATTTTTTATGTTTTCGACTTAAATAGTATATTAAATATACATTTGTTGCTCAATAAATCGTAAACTTGCTTCCAAATAAATAAATGAAATAGAAAAGGATACGATCAGTACTTTGGTACCGATTGGAACTGTCGCTAGCTTCTTAGCAACAATGCCTTTTAGGAATCGCTATCTTCATACCGAACCCCTCTTTTCATTTTTTTTTTTTTTTTTTTGCTTATGTTTGTTTTAGTTCTCTTACCATAACAACAAACTATCAAACTCCTAATCTTCAAAATATATTTTTTCATGCAAAATCTATTATCATACATATTTAAACACTTGTAATAAGGATCAGTCCCCTGGGCGATGTGGGATGTCACATGGAACGTCATTTTAACAATGTTTTGGGCCTCCCTACTATATTTTTCACTTATTTTTTTAGTTTTCGACTTAAATAGTGTATTAAATATATATTTGTTGCTCAATAAATCGTAAACTTGCTTTCAAATAAATAAATGAAATAGAAAAGGATACGATCGGTACTTTCGTACCGATTGTCCATAGGAACTGTCGCTATCTTTTTAGCAACGGTGTCTGTTTAGAATCGCTATCTTCATACCGAACCCCTCTTTTCAATTTTTTTTTTTTTTTTTTTTTTGCTTATGTTTGTTTTAGTTCTCTTACCATAACAACAAACTATCAAACTCCTAATCTTCAAAATATATTTTTTCATGCAAAATCTATTATCGTACTTATTTAAACACTTGTAATCAACGATTTACAACCTAAATTTAAAGATATTTGAATTTAATAGTGGTTACTCAGATAAAGTAATGTACGAAGAAAAAACTTAAAGGAATAAACAAAAAAGCATAAAATAAATAAATAAATAAATGAACTGGGAAAGATCGGTACCACGCTACCGATCCTTGCCCAGTCGTATTTAAATTATTGTTCAATCTATTTATTTTCACATTCGCCTAATCGTGAAGTTTGAAGATTATAGTAATACTTTTTGTTATAATCTTGAGTGTGGAACGTCATTTTAACAATTTTTTGGGCCTCCCTACTATATTTTTCACTTATTTTTAGTTTTCGACTTAAATAGTCTATTAAATATACATTTCTTGCTCAATAAATAGTAAACTTGCTTCCAAATAAATAAATGAAATAGAAAAGGATACGATCCGTACTGTGATACCGATTGTCCACAAGAACTATCGCTAGCGTTTTAGCAAGCTGCCTGTTAAGAATCGCTATCTTCATACCGAACCCCTCTTTTCAATTTTTTTTTTTTTTTTTTGCTTATGTTTGTTTTAGTTCTCTTACCATAACAACAAACTTTCAAACTCCTAATCTTCAAAATATATTTTTTCATGCAAAATCTATTATTGTACATATTTAAACACTTGTAATCAACGATTTAAAACCTGAATTTAAAGATATTTGAATTTAATAGTGGTTACTTAGATAAAGTAATGTACGAAGAAAAAACTAAATGGAGTAAACAAAAAAGGAGAAAATAAATAAATAAAAAAATGAACTGGGAAAGATCGGTACCACTCTACCGATCCTTGCCCAATCGTATTTAAATTATTGTTCAATCTATTCATTTTCACCTTCGCCTAATCGTGAAGTTTGAAGATTATAGTAATACTTTTTGTTATATTCTTGAGTGTGGAACGTCATTTTAACAATGTTTTGGGCCTCCCTACTATATTTTTCACTTATTTTTTTAGTTTTTGACTTAAATAGTGTATTAAATATATATTTGTTGCTCAATAAATCGTAAACTTGCTTTCAAATAAATAAATGAAATAGAAAAGGATACGATCAGTACTTTGGTACCGATTATCCAAAGGAACTGTCGCTATCTTTTTAGCAACGGTGTCTGTTTAGAATCGCTATCTTCATACCGAACCCCTCTTTTCAATTTTTTTTTTTTTTTTTTTTGCTTATGTTTGTTTTAGTTCTCTTACCATAACAACAAACTATCAAACTCCTAATCTTCAAAATATATTTTTTCATGCAAAATCTATTATCGTACTTATTTAAACACTTGTAATCAACGATTTACAACCTAAATTTAAAGATATTTGAATTTAATAGTGGTTACTTAGATAAAGTAATGTACGAAGAAAAAAACTCAAAGGAATAAACAAAAAAGCAGAAAATAAATAAATAAATAAATGAACTGGGAAAGATCGGTACCACGCTACCGATCCTTGCCCAGTCGTCTTTAAATTATTGTTCAATTTATTTATTTTCACCTTCGCCTAATTGTGAAGTTTGAAGATTATAGTAATACTTTTTGTTATAATCTTGAGTGTGGAACGTCATTTTAACAATTTTTTGGGCCTCCCTACTATATTTTTCACTTATTTTTAGTTTTCGACTTAAATAGTCTATTAAATATACATTTCTTGCTCAATAAATAGTAAACTTGCTTCCAAATAAATAAATGAAATAGAAAAGGATAAGATCCGTACTGTGATACCGATTGTCCACAAGAACTATCGCTAGCGTTTTAGCAAGCTGCCTGTTAAGAATCGCTATCTTCATACCGAACCCCTCTTTTCAAATTTTTTTT